CCCCAAAACCCCAAAACCCCAAAACCCCAAAACCCCAAAACCCCAAAACCCCTGATCCATTCCTCCTAATTGAATTTTCATTTGATGATTCTCTAAGTTGCTGATGGAAGCACTTTCTTGGAAATCTTTGATGCCTCTGAAAACTTGGAATCTCTCTTGGACAACTGGTTGATCAATATGATAACGGAAAATAGCTGGATGAACAAGTTTCCGAATACAATCACTCTGTTCTGGAGATATCCTGGAATCAAGTAACACAAGAACCAGAGTCCAGGGAATGCCATCATGTACAAAGATCCGGCAACTGATAGAGCTTTAAGTAGTGGCTTAGCTTTCCTATTAACTTTACCAATATTCTTAACGATTCCATAAACGAATACGATCCATGTAAGGATTCTCAAAGCAACCATAATTATGCCTTGGTATCCTCCGTAATCGTGATACTTGTGATGAGCTCCGTCATCCAAGAATGTCAAGTAAGATGCCAGTGACTGGACTACACAGATCACTCCGCCCAGCACGACCAGCCCTGTGTTCTCTGCAATGTCGTTCTCGGTGATCTTCCATCCATGAGCAATCATTGTGAACAAGCCGACCACTACGACCTGTGCAGTCATCTGGAAGAAGGTCGCCGACAAGTCCAGCAAGTAGAACCCAGAGCCGTTGTAGGCATACACGTACAAGTGGATGGATGTGCATGCAATGTGCAAGAACTCAGTGTAAATGGCGAAGATGATTCCGATGTTGGCAGGGTCGACTTCAACATCGTTCAAGGCGTCTTTACCCAGCGAGTAAACGCTCTTTGCTAAGAAATAGAAGTACACGATGAACAGAACCGGGTACAAGTAAATCAAGCCATGGTCTTCGTGTGAGAGTTCTGAGCCGTGGTTCAGCATGTGGACATCGACTTCGATGGGTGGGAGATTTGGGTCTGCTTGATGAGTGGCACCTTGGCAATCAGTGATGACAATGTAGACGACAGTTGTTTCAGGCAAGTCGGGTTCTTCTACAGAAGCCCATCTGCTCCACTCACCGTCACCTCTTAGAGTCAGTGGGGGAATTGAGAACTTGGCTTTGTCTGGGATGCTTGTTCAATTATATCCGTGAATTACAGATTCCCATTCAGGATCATGGATAAGGTATAAAAAGACTGGATATTCTTTATCTTCCTTATATTTCTCTGTCAGCCTGACTCTGACAGAAGCATGTAAATTAGATCCTTGATTGACTGCGAATCTAGCTACATACTCTCCATTAGGGATCTCTCCACTGGTAGGTCCTAGATCAACCTCTTGGGTAAGTCTCATTGCTGCAGTGAAGGTGGTAAAGAGTAAAACTCAAATCCAAATTTTACTGAAGGTCTTTGTGAGCTCCATATTAAAAATCTTAATTTTTAAATTATTCAAATCAATTTTCCCTTGCATAGCGGGGTTTTGGGGTTTTGGGGTTTTGGGGTTTTGGGGTTTTGGGGTTTTGGGG